TAATATTTTCCATGAAGTAGTAAAATGTCTCAGTTTAAACATTTGATAAGTGTTCTGTGCTCATTGTAATAAAATATGAGACAAAACTGTGGTTTTATATGCTACATTAAGCACATTAAAAACAAAGAAACATGAATGCAAAAAACATGCTAGTAACAACAATACCAACACCTTCTCATGTAGATGTTTCCACCTTTGCTCAGGTGTTACCAAACTGGGTCACCTTAAATAAGGTTCCAGTTGCAGAGCAATTCAAAACCACTCCATTCAAACACTTTTTCATGAGAGTATTGCAGTATTTATCCTCCTCATTAATGAAATTACAATCACTCCAGTTGAATAACTCAGACTGAAAAAATAAATGGACATTGCCTTCTACAGAAATGATAATGAAGCCTACTAGCATGCCTGAATTGTTGCTTTAGCAAGATATTTGACACTCAGACAGCTTTCAGAGACTCACCCAGTGGCCTAGAATTTAAGCAAAGAATGCTTAAGCACTCTGAAACATCTTAGACTCTCTGTGCTGACTCTTAACTGTCTGTTAAGATGCCCTGCTTCATGTCAAGGGGCTTGACATTGACTAACTGTGAGAAACATCACAAGCTTGTTCATTAATTGCCAGACTGCAAAGCTTCCCACTGGAATCTGAAATCTGGCAAGTAACAGAAAGTGTAAGCACAACACAAGAATTTCAAGGACCTTTATACATTTGTGTTGAATGAAGCTGAGATCACCTACAGTCCTATCTTTCACTCTGTTCATTCATCAGACCGTGAGAAGTCAAAGAGACACTGAAAGAAACAAGGTCACCTCTCAAACAGCTGAGCATGAGAACGAGAAGATTGGACCAGTAAAAAACTGCAGCATTCTTTCCCAGGCATCAGCTCCATGTGTGTTAAAAGTTCACAAAGGTGTGTATCCACTACTCAACACTCAAATAACACTACATTCACCTACCACAAAAAAAGAGAGATGGATGCAAAGAAACGACACAAGCTTCAGGAGCTCAGTGATGCCCTGATCCAGATCTGGGAGATCTCCCTGGACACCATCTGTCTTCTCATTAGGAGCATGCCCTGATGTTGTCAGACATGCATACAGGCACGTGGAAGTCAAACAAACTTGTGAGTACCATTCACAGATGCTGCAATGAAATATTTGCAAAAGGGACCCGCCTGCCGCATCATTTTGTCACTTTGATCTGCAGGGTGACAATTGATGTGGCATCCTTTCGTTCCTAATACATTATTCAGCATTATTTTTGTGACCTCACGTGTTTTCAAAGTCTGTCTTTAATTTTTTTGAGCAGCTGATTACAAGTGTTGGTGCTTGCTTTGATGGAAGCACCAGGACTTGATCTGACCACCCATCAGTTTAAAGCAGTTTCCTCGGTTGGATGTGCAAACTATGTCCATGCTGAGGATGCTAGCCTGCCAGAGTTGCACATAAACTCTTTGCCATGTGGGCACTCTGACTACACAGCTTCATGGTAAATGCCAAATACATGTTGAGAGTTTACCACCTTCTGAGACAAACCAGGAGTGAGAATGTGGACGTTGTATTCAGTGATCTGCCACTAGAGGGCGCTCTCAGTCTTGGGAAAACATTTTGAGTCTGACCACTTCTGACTTATTAAGAACCTTAAGGATCACATTAAGCGTGCGTGTAAAGACAGGAAAAGACAAGGTTTCTTTGTTCAGACTCTTTACTCGATCTGCAGAAATAACATAAGCAGAACAAGCTGCTTGAACATCAAGCAGACTTGCAGTTAAGAGTTATGATGACTTAGTACAGGACCTCCTGCTTGGATCAACCTACATGCATGAAGATGTGCAGCTGTTTCGTTCTGATAGGACAGTCATGCTGACACATCACCAGGCGATAAGGTGCACCAGGGTGTTAGAAGACTTTGAAATGAAAACTAAACACACATTTACAGATGAAAATAGTTATTTAGTTGTTTATTTTAATGGATCTCCAAATTTGTTTGATTGACCGAGTGACTGATTAATTGGTTACTTTAATGAAATGACAAATTGTGGTCAATTTGGGGAGGAAACAAAATAAGAATCAATGTGTTGGCTGATGGCATCTTTCTCTGTTTTCAGTGAGTCATACATAAAACCATAGATTTTTTTCACCTCAGAGTCTGTTGCAGAGTTTCTCAGCTTTTAGCTCATTATTTTTCTCCTGCAAACCTTTCTCCTTTGAGAGTGTGTTGCTCAGCACCTCCTGACTTATAACTAGTCTTATAAGTACTCAAAGTTTCATAAACTTTGACTTTCATTGCGAGTAATTCTTTTCTTCAAGGCATCAGCGTTATTTTCTCAGCTTGTGCTTATATTTCCAAGCTTCTTCATTCAGAGCCTTTCTGTAGACCTTCATGTGAGTTTTAATTAGGACTTTGCTCTGTGCCTGCATGGTGCCACCTTCTCCTCAGCTTCCAGTTAAAGGTATCTGTCCTTTAAAGTTTGTTCGATCCGCAGCTGATGGTTGACAACAGCTTCCAATTTGTCCTTTTCATTGTGTTTAACCGCACAGAGCCTCTCCAGTATTTACTTTTTCTTTCATTCTTGAAGAGATTCTGGCGTTCCCGTCGTAAGGCATCACTGTGATGACTCAAGGCCTCTTTTGACACTACACTGTTGTGGTTTCTTGCAGAGATTTTGCTCTGGATGTGTCTGTGGATCTCCTGAATCTCCTGTTGCGAAGCTTCATTCTGCTGCTTTTGTGACATCCAGTGAGTTTGGTTGTTCATGCTTGTCCTTGAGTTGCTGGATTTCCTTTTGCATTGCTGTGTTTTGTTGTCTAATTTTCTCTGTGGACTTTTTTAATCTCACCACACATTTCCTCAAAGGCTATTTTGTTGTGGACCTCTTCCTCTATGTGCTCAAGTTCATTATTGAGCACCTCATGCTCCTGGTTTATGGCTTCACGTTCTGCTTTAATTTAATTAAAGTCAATGGCCATGGCTATGTCTTTCAGGCTTTTGTTAAATTTGTTGCTACAGAGTGTGAATTTTATAGTTCAGCTCCTCATTAGCTTTAGAAATTTCATCAGAAAAGCTGTGACTCTGGAACAGTTTGTTGAGCTCATGAATTTGGAGTTGCAGGGTGTCAAGCTGCCAGCTGATGGCTTGCAGGCTCACATTAATGGTGCTGTAGCTGGCTGCTTCACCTCTCTGTTCCTGGTGGAGGTCTGTGTTGGCACACCCTGCAGACTCCTGTTGGCTGCAAATCACTTTTTGCTTTCTTAAAGCTGGTCAGTGAAATATGCCTGTCTGCATTATATTTACTACAGCTACATAAAAATAATAAGAGACTGATCGCACTCAAAAATGCTTGGTGTCCATAACTGTAACGGTACAATCTTCAAAATGCAAAGCAAGTTTCCCAACAAACATGAACAATAGTTCCACTGATTTTAGCATGTTAACAATTTCCCTGCAGTGTTCATGAATGTGTCAGTTTAAGAGGAATAATATTTCTGCAGTATTCTTTATACGACAATCTGCTCCTTGTGCATTGTTCTCCATCTCTGTATTGATGTGTTTGAATTTCTTGAGTTTTCACTTCAAGTTTCTAGTTTGTATTGTAAAAAATATATTATATATATTTTATACTTTATATTGTAAAAATGAGACCCAACAATATTAGAAAGAAAACCTCAACAATCACCCTGTAAGTGTGGACTTGGTGACAGTGGGAAAGAAAAACCTCCGTTAAACAGTAAGAAAGCCAGACTGATAACTCACTGATCTACACGCTCAGGTCAGTAGTGTACATATTTAATGTTATACCTGAAATTTGAATCTGTTCATCTGGATGCAGCATTTCTATGTCCAGATGGGATTTCCTTTTCTGGATTGTTGAGCATGAACAAGTACCACAACCATTCATTCCCGTATGAATGTACACTACACTTGTGAAGCTCTTGCCTGCTCAGTATATGAATGACTCTGTGAATCCCTGTTTCTAGCTTCAGTACTGTAAACTGGGGGCGAATGGGTTTGGGGGGAGGATCATATTTCTGGCTTCTTCTGGCACCTAAAAGAAGCCGTCTATGGTTAGGAACAACCAGAAGGGGGCAGAGAAGCCATAGCTTTAAAATGACTCCAAGTATGCAGCTCTCTGTTGTTCTGTGTGTTGTTGATGTTTACTTTGCACGCTATAACATTTTAATTTATCTACTGAGTTGATTTTACTGCTTAAAAACGTGTAAAATTCAAGTAAAGCTTCAGTGTGTGCATGCAAGATTATCTGCTTAACTCAAGGATGCTGAACTAATATACTTCGGGGGGTAAACGTGGTGTTTGGCATGCAAACAGAGTGAACTGTTAATGCACACTCATGACTTAAAGCTCTACACACATGACTGCATGCAGACAGCAAACCTTGTAATGACTGGCGGAGGGGAAACATCCTGACTGCCTGGGGCATAAAGCACTGTGGCCTGGAGTCCTACTGATGTAAAGTCATGCTAATTTTGCTTCAGCCGCAGGATGCCTTGTAAAAATCTCCCTGGTTTTGTTCGGATGTAAATTCTGTCTTCTACCAAGTGTGCTCAGTCCTGACTTATATAAAAGAGTTGGCTAATATGTTTACTTCTTAGCCATACTTTAATATCTCTCTTTTATATGTGTGAGAGGGGTTTGGGGGAAGAAAGATCTCAAGAGAAACGGGCACCAAGTTTGTTGTGTGGGTGTGATTTAAGAAATGGGAGCTGGATATTCACGTGAGGCTGCTTTAGTTCATTTAAGTAAACGTTAATAATTAACCCCATCAGTCAATTCCTTCTGTTAATACATTTATCCGTTTCGGGAAATGGCATCTTCCTTCGTATTTTAAATCCGAGTGCACTTTTTTCAGCTCCAATTAAAGCAGTAATTGAGTCGTCTCTACTGAACATACACGAAAGGCGTAACACTGGCAAAAGCACAAAGAGAAAAAAACGTCTTCCTCCCTGTTTTCTGCGCACATGTGCGCAAAAGCTCGGTGCCTGGTGGCGATCGGATGAAGAGAAGAGCCAGACGAGGAAGCAAGGAGGAGGGATCAGGAGCAGTGGCGTGGTTTGACCGGAGTAAAGAGTTTATTCTGGATTCTGCGGACGCCTCCGTCACTGTTCAATCGGATGGTCTCTCTCTGGTCTTTATTTGATACCCAAATCAGTTATGTGCGCAAAAGGACGCAGAGCGTCAGAGGTGTGCTGCTCCGAAAGGAGTTTGGATAAAGTGGCGCTATAAGAAACTTACACACCTCCGCTGTCACTGTCATCGCAGCACAGGTACGAACCAGGATCCCGGAAGAACTCGTTGTACAGGTTACCCTTTGTTTTTAGAGTTACTTGTACGTTTCTGAGTGAACGAACTCAGATGGACTTGTTTACTTTATTCAAGAAAAAAAATTATCTCTCAAAGTTTCTGATTATAAAGTAAATTAGCGGAAAGAAAATGAAGGATCAGAAGAAGAAGAAGCTGTTCGTGGTGGTGGATGTGCTGTGCGTTACAGCTGGTAAGTTAACAACCTGTTCCTTTTATTTAGCACACGGACAATGCGCAAAAGTCGGCAGGCGTCGCTGGTAATATATTTGCGGCTACATCCGTTTCTTCTCATAATTCGCATTTTTTGTGTGTGTTTTGCACCGATAACAGCAGCTTAGGGTCTCTTGTAGTGATGGGAACTCAGCGGTGTTTGTTTATTTGCACGTTAAACTTTTTTAATCAGACAAAAGGTTTTCTGGCTGGCTGCTGATTTTAATCTCTGTTGCTGATCCAGCAGCTGGACTGCCACACTCGGGTCTGGCGCTAAATGAGCAGCCTGTCACTCACTTTGTTTATGGAGATCCGGGCTGGGATAACGTCCCGGCCTTAAATGTTGGTGCAATTTCACCATGGCAGAACATAAGAGGAAATCTCAGTGTCATCCTCCTCGCAAGCTTGCATGCTTCAACCTACTCACCAAAACTTTGCAGGACTTTACAGTGCCCCAGGAAGCTGAATATTTGTTTATGGAAATCTGATACGCATGTGTGCGCCCCGCTTATTCCACATATTTTGTCTGCCAGGAATCCTAAAAAGACTGCTCCCAACTTCCTACGTTTGGTGCATTTCTCGACATTTGACTTTCTGATGCGCTCGGAAACGGATGTTCCGCGTTTAACTTCAGGCAGAAACAGTATTTTCTGCTGTAACCAATGAACTAATATGTATCGGATTCGTCTCCTCCCTCCTCTGGATAGTGTCAGAAAATGCACCATACTAACAAACATTGTAGTAACAGCTTTCCACACTGATGAGAGTCTTTTGACATTCATCTTCAAGGTATGGACCACGATTAGGGAGGAAACAATGAATCCATTATTGGAGATTTACACGAACTGTATGAAATTACTTAATCAGTGCAGCTGTATCAATAACTCAATGCATTATAAAGATAATATTAATGTCACCGTATTCAGATTTGCATGATGAAAATAACCATGTACATACTGTACAGACTTTTGACAGACGTGTAAATCTTTTAATAATTAGCTGAGACTCAAAGGGGGTTTGTTAAAAACATATAAATACAGATGCCAAAATAAATAAATCACTGGGTTTAATAATCTGACAAATGTTTTCATCATAAAGATAATGATTAGATCAACTTTATCAAACAAAAAAAAAACAACAAACATAAAAACTCTGAGCTGGCATGTCCAGAAGAAGTTGTTTTCAGATGCGGACACAAGGATAATATGCACATGTGGAATATACCAGTGTGGTGGGAGGTTGGTTCACTGTGTTAATGCCACATGAGCACGACAGCCATCTGTTTTGCAACGGTCTGGTGTCGGCACCTTGTTTATCACTTGTTTTGTCTCGGTTCTACCGGCGAGGTACAAAAGAGGAAGGAGTTCAGGACAAAGACTTCCAGGGCCCCCACTCCATCCCGGGCTTTACAAAGAGCTTAGGAGTATTTTCCATCAGTGGGAATATCCACAGACTGCTGAACATGATAAGCCTTACCATTTGGTTGTCACAAGTCTGGGATTAATGTCTGGGTTGGTCGGATGGTTGGTCAGATCTCGATGGATTATCCACCCTTTTTGCCTTCGCTTTCCCTACTGCCACCCATGTCATTCACCCAAATAATCGTCAAGTCAACCCCAAGTTTATGTGAGGTTTCCCCAGGCGTGTAATAACAACACGATAGAGCTTATAATTATGCTGACCATTAGCCTGTATGGAAACAGTGTTGAGTTGGGTTTCTTCTGCATTTTCAGACTGTTTACATTTCTTGAATTTGTGAGCCTTTCAAATCTGCCTTTTTCTTCTCTCTGGACTTTTGCTCAGCCGAAGAAATATGTCTCACATTCAGCAGACTGCCTTCATCTATCCTTTGTTCAGGAATCCAAAGGCCAAAATCAATCACCCTGCCCTGCCCAGGTCAAACTACACTGATAACTGTTGGTATCATGAATAGATGTGCCTCTGTCTTTTTTGTTGTGGTTTTTTGTTTAATACAGTCCACAACACAGTTACTGAGCACCTTAATGGATGGATGTGGTGTGAAATAGCTGGTTTGTGGTAGTTTACTGATGCCTTCCTACTCGAGGTCTGTCGTATTGTGTATTATTTGTCTAGTTTAAGCCTCCTGTCTCTTTTTTTTGTGAGGGACATTTGAGGTTGTTGTACTCGTCAAAGATCTACCTTGGTTTTGAATTTCTTGTTTATTGTGAGCTTCTGGCCTCGGTTCTTCGTCTATTCTTCCTCCCTTCCTCCCACTCCCTACCCCGTCTGTGTAAGTCTACACTCAGCACAAATAGATATTGGGTGTTGGCTCGAGAAAGGAAAGACCGGGTTTTAACCTCTCCCTGCCCACAGCTCTGCAGGTGTAACATGTATGTCACAGCTCACCTCATTTCATGGGTGCTCCTGTTGGAAAAATGAATGACATTTTGAATCGTGAGTAATGCGCTCGATAATACACCAGGCCAATAGACTAAAAGGCCTTGGGGCGAGGCACTGCCAACGCATTCTTGTTTTCCCATGTGTCCGCTCGTTATTGTCTGTAAGATTGTGCCAAACCTGTTGATTGCTGACCCACTTACAAAACGTGTTATGTATGTATTGTACAGTATGTAAAAGTTGATATTATGTAAAAGAAACATACCTGCATTTCTTAAAATGGTGTTAGAGTCCATCCATCCGTCTCTTCTGCTTATTCTAATTAGGGTCACGGGGGCTGGAGCCCATCTCTAAGATTTACAGTATTTTATAATTTTGTTTTCAGAGAATTGTATACTTATCACTTATCACTCTGCATTTGTTGGTTTCTTTTGCACAGCTAAAGAACAATGGCAGCAGAGTTTTTGATTTTCGCCTGGCCTGCACATATCAAGTTGTTCTCAGTATTTTATATGATCACAATCACAGTGACACATACAATAGCGCTTGCTCACAGATTCCCACGGCAGGAAAACTATCAGACTTTCTACACATTTCATTGCATTTTTTACTCTAAATGCACTCTGTCCCCTTGCTGTGTTGCTTGCCAACCCTGGTTAGTTTGTCGGTGAAGCCATCCAGCGGAGTCTTCTGGGAGCCGGGCCTCTCATGTGGTTTTTGTTGGTAAGACTGATTGGCTTGAGTTCTCAGAGCAAAGCTATGAAGATGCTTGATGGGAATGGTTTTCCTTAGGAGAGCCATGTCATGGAAACTGAAGCCCTTTTATTAAACAAACAGACACGTTCCACTGAGAGAACTTAGTTTCTTTATATTTTGGTTGCTGATATTCAAATTATTTTAAATCGTTGCAAGTGAGGTTGAGCGTGGAATTCAGGTATTTTATAGGCATACATTGATTATTTTTGACTGTTTGTTTCTACAGTTTTTTAAAAGTTTTTTATTTGTATGTTCTTTTATGTAGCTCTGCCATGTCGACATCCAATATTCTATTTTTCTGTATATTTATTGATGTTTATTACAGGATACCCACTGCTCTTTGCAGATCTACGTTATTATTTTGGACTTTACCAGAGCTTAGCATGATTCACAGTTCAAAATAATCTTTGTTTTGGTGTAACCCCCCAATTCGTGCACTCTGGAATAAGCTCTATAAGCACTTCTCTCCTTAGGTAACCTTTTTTTCTGAATGATGAACAGCAGGTGTTTGGGGCTGCTGTGCTCACTGCCAGAGCTGTCACTGACATCATATAAAACCTCGAGTATCAAAAATGTAAACAGTGCTGTTTGATCACTAGAAAAAGATACGAGCTGTAAATAAGCCAAACGCAGTCTAAAAGACATGTTTCTTGTTAATGTCGAGCCAAACTAGATTTTAAGGACTAATCCAAACAAGCTGAGAACGTATAAAGGCAACATCAAATATATACAGGATAAAGTGCGACACAGCAAGGCAGCAGTTTATTTAGTAAGGTCAGGATTATTCATTGTAGCTGCACACATCAGACTGCCTTTTAACTCCTCCCGCAGGCCTTTCTGGTTTAGGTTGAAACCTGTGTGGCCTACTTCTTTGATCCCCTCCAAACCCAGACTCTTTGATTGCTCACCCAGATTTAGCTGCTCTCCCACCACTCGCACAGCCTCGCCTGCCGCCATGTCTCCTTCTGCTCTGCTTGAAGCTAAGCACGCGTAAATGATGGACGGAGTGAAACAGTGGGATTAAAAATAAAGAATGGACCACAGCAGCAGCAGGATTTGGTGTGACTGGTGAAGTTGGGCGTTCCTCATGTGAATTAGAATTCCAGAGGCCTACGCCGGCAGAGGTTGTAGGCTCAGCACATACCTTCCACATTAGTCAGTCCAGCTTGGAGGGGCGACAGTTAGAAAGAGAGAGAGCTTTAGCTGGTTTTTTAACTGCAACACATCTTCTTGAGCATGACCTGCTTTGACATAAAAACATGTTTGAATTGGAGGGAACAAACGAAGGAGAGAAATTTTTATTCAAAGGAATAAAAAGTGGAAACACTCCAGCTAAAAGAAAGGGGGGGGGAGCCTCCCTCTGTCCTCATCCACGCAGGCTGGAATTGGAAGCAGTCAGAAATTGAGTAAATGACTAAAGAGTGACACAGATTTCTAAGAAGCGGTGAAATGTAAGATGAAAGTAAAACAGTCAACAGGAAGAAAAGAAGGCTAGAAATACAATAAGAAGAAGGTGACCTTCATGCTGCAAAGGCAGGAAACCAGAGTGGAAGAAATTAGATGGAAGAGCAAATGTTCCAGCTACGACCCCGAAGGGAGGGCATCCTAAGGGCATGGGAACACCCATCTCACGCCACACACTCTTTAGGTATGCATAATAAAAACCCAGACTGTATGTTTTTCAAATTAGGGAACATAATTGTCCATCTGTGTGGTTATGCAGGTGCAGCAAGTTATGTCAGAGAAACCACGGTGAGTAGGTGTCAGTTATTCTCAAACTATGACTTCCAGATAATCATAGAAGTTTGACTCAAGGGACTAAGGTCTCCAGAGCAGAAAAATGGACCCTGTACAGCAAATACATGT